AATTCAAGGAAAAACGAAAAAACAAAAAAACAAAAAAAAAAAAAAAAAAAAAAAAAAAACAGAGAATTAAACCTCCCACTCTGTAATGGATTATAGCTATTGGCAGACTATTACAAGTCGAAACTACCACGCAATTTGCGAATTTAAAAATACATCCGAGTGATTCTACTTGTATCAGTGACAGAACTAATAGAAATAGCAGAAACCAAACACTCCAAACGAATGAAAATTTCAAATTCACCCTATAGTGATTTCACAATGACCAAAGCTTACATTCAATAACAAGACCTCAATCAAATTCTGTCAAGCAATCAACTTAAGTTAGCATTCTTATGATCATGATCCTGAAGATCAAAAGCAGGAGCAGCAGAGAACTATAAGACAATTCATAAATCAAATATGACTCGGTGACTAAAAAAATATTTTGGAGGGTTCAGAATCCTGGAACAAATTTATCTGATTATCATATAGTAGAGTAGTTTTCTCCCAAGTAAACGAGGAACTGCCAAGTACCATGTTAACATAATATAAAGGCGTAACAATGAAATAATTTTAAATGATAACCTGCAATCTTAGATACGCAAAAGTTGGAGTCTCCAGCAAGCGAATCAATTTATCCAGCTGGACCAAAAATTTCACATTAATATCCTCCTCCACCAGAGACTGGATTACAGCACTTGCATGCTGGTATGTCTGTCAAGATAAGAAATGGGAACACGTTCTATTGAAATATAAAAACTAAACCAATAAACAAAAGGGCATGCAGCACAAAAAAGAGAGAGATGGCGGCAGTTAGTACAATGAAATTCTAAACACTTACCTGAGCTAATAAGCAGAGACTTATGATTGCCATGGGTGAGTGGCACCATGAAGCATACAACGAAACAAATAAGTCCTTCCCAGCGGGGTTCACGAGTGACTTTTTCAAAAGATCTCGAAGTTCAGATAATTCGGATGATGTAAGTAAAATCAAGTTCAAAGCCTGAAAAATAAAAAGAAATCACGAAACTATTAAATACAAAAGCCTTGCTTCACTTTCTTAACTATAAAAAGCCCCAACCTCAACGTCATTCTATTAGGGCACTCGTGCACTTGAAGTTCAGAAAAGACAACCTGAACCATAACAGATGCAAAATCCAGATCGGATTCCACTTCTAATATCGTAGAAAACTCCCGGTAGAGCTTTTCAGCATCTAAAAGTACACAAAGTCGGCGGATTATCAAAGCACCACGCCTGAGATAATAAGAAACAAAACAATCAAAATAAGAAATGTGGCATGCATTAACCACCAGCACGTGTGTGTGTGTGTGTGTGTGTGTGTGTGTGTGTGAGAGAGAGAGAGAGAGAGAGAGAGAGTTGGGAGGGGGGAAGAAACTCACTTCTCCAGTAGAGAATTATCTGCCCTAAAATTATGCATCAGGAAAACAACAAGATGACGGAAGTGTTGTGGGTCTTTTGCTATGCATGCATGAACCTCGAGAACCAGGAGCACAACCTGAAGAAGCATCACAGAATGTAAACGGGTTCAGAAAACCAGAAGGCCAGTACCATAACAAAATTCCAAATGACTGTCAATAGCTAAACAGCCAATTCTGCTTTGTTAGCAGATACTTTACTCATGTTATTTGTTGTCCCTCACCTTTTGCGGTAAATTATGGTTTACCCCTTTAAACTTATACCTGCTTGCAGCTAATCCCCAATTAACCAAAAAAAAAAAAAAAAGATCATTCTTTGATTCCTTCCCCTGATCAAACTCTTATAGTGGAGTTTGATGATATAGGGTTCACACGAAAAGTGGGTGCTAGCTAATATAAGGACTCATGCTGGCTGCTGCTGCAGTAGAGTTTGATAACCTCAACTACAAGGTCGAAACATTATATACTAATAAATAGGTTACTATAGGAGCTCGTTAAAAGAAAAGGTACATGGAAGCATAAGATTGTGGTAGTCATACATTTCCAAAAATAAATTCGCAATGAAATTTAAAAATGATAAAAGCAATTAAAACGCAAGGCCAGCAGAGACAAAAATGTACAACTATGTTAAAAAGTTTACCTCATCAGACGAATCTGAAAGTGGCGTCAGAAGTGTATCAAATATGTCCTCCAGAAAAGTCAATACCTGTTTCAATTAGAGAATTAGTATTTGGTGCTACTGAGCTAAGCAAGGAGCAAACAAACAAAAAATTCACGTAACAACTCAGAGAGCTCTTAATAGTACATATCACATAATAGGAACTTTTCCAATGGCTTTGGTTTAAAGGTGAAGAACATCAAGCCAGCATTTCCTATGCCACATTATTTTGAAAACTAACACATTGAACTGGAAATTATAATATGTTGTCTCCAAGTACAATAAACCAAGTTAGAACAGACATTCGGTCTCCAAGAAAATCCTCTAATTTCTTTCTACTGACTTTATAGACTACCAAGTATAACTGTCAGCAGTTATGGGAAATTCAGATGGAGGACGGATCATGTAATGGGAGAGATTACCAGAAGCATGGAATAATATATCTATATTACATTAGTTCACACAGGCCTTTGGAAAGATCAAAAGTCATCTTGAACATGAAATTGAGAATGAAATTTCACTTGGAAAACTCTATTGAGTAACGAACATGTATGCAAAACAGGTAAGTAACTAGATATAACTACAATTTGAAAACAGGTTCCTACTTTTGTTCCCCCTCTCTTTTTCGTTAGGCTGAGGAAGAATAAGTCATAGGTATGAAAAAGCCTATTACCTCAGCGCGATGTCTGTTCAAAAGGGTTGATATCCAGTGCAATGCTTCTATTTTAGTAGCTTCCCACTGACTAGATAATTGGCTGATCAGTCAAAATATCCAGCAATTACCACAAAGCATTGTAGACTGGAAATTGATTTAAGAAAATACCACTTAATGTATCAAAGCTAAAGAAGGGAGCTCAGTGAAGACAAAAATAAAAGAGAAGAGAACATCACATCCCTATAGCTCCTAAAGGAGCAAAAGTGCCAACCCATAAAAGTAAACATTTCAAACTGCATGTTCCAAAGGTTAAAAAAACTGCACCTCCTTGCAATAGAGAGGATAGATCCCACGTTAAATACTTCAGCTGGATCAGCCTTGATTCCACGAAGCTCTTCATTAGTTTCACGAGCAACCTGTAGAAATAAATAAACTTCTGCTTTTGCAAGTCTTTAAAAAAATAAAATAAAATCCATGAACAAGGTTCTCAGCATAGATAGCTGGGAGAACACAACAACCCAAATTAAAACAAAAAATAAAACAAGAAAACTTAAACAAACCAACCACTCTGATCTTCTCTTCTTTATCAGATATGCATGGTAAAATGGCTCCTAAAATATCAGCATAGTAAGGAACCAGCTGATCTCCACCAAGTTTTACAAATTCACTTATCTGCACAGTCCAGCAGCACGTCAACAACTTATATAAAAGTATCTTTTTGTCAATCAAAAAGGTGTTCTTCATTAAGCTAGCTAGGATAACATGTTCAAAGAGGGATCTCATCTAGAGTAACATACCCATGTGATGGCAGTTAACCTAGTAAATTCATCGGGAGAAGCAGCCCTCTGCACAAGAATTTCAGCCATGCGACCGTAATCTACAGACTTCAAGAGTAGCACTGTTCGAGTCAGAAATTACAAATGAACAAGATAATTTGTTTCATGTCAAAACACTTGAAATAAAGATGCTTTTATTTTCAACAGAGCCATATATTTTAATTTTAGCGTAAGTCTTACTGGGGAGTTCTTGATTTCTTGGAGAAACTCTGAAAGAGCTGAATCAGCTTGTTGACGTATTTCATGGCTAGAATCACTTAGCATATTAAACAAACCTGAAATTAACTGGGAATTGTGAGGCCATATGCATTTAGCGAAAAACGGGAAAAAGTGAACAGTTTATCAGACAAATCAATTACCATCTAGGAAATCAGGAAGAAACCCCAGCATATCAATGTCTGGAACACTGTCCAGTACAGTGATCCATCCTACCAAAAACTGACGGACATAGGGATTCAGGACATTCATGCGCTCCCTCAACAATGGTATAAATTCTTCAATACTGAAGAAAAATAACACCACAAAACAATGAAACTCAATAAAAAACTTTGACCCCTAATGCAGACATTTATAAATCTGACATGACAGACCACCTACCTGAATTGATCACTTTCAGTAACAATATCCTGTTCCATAACATATAACAAATTTATGTAAGAAAGAAATGTCAAACAAGAAGACAACTTGAGGTAAGGAAGGAACAATCTGATATTTGAGATGAAATGCGTGAAGCAAGGGTTTCTGGACAAAATTACCTTCACAAGCCGATCTAAAAGATGTGCAGCACTTTGTACGTTTGCATCAGAATCAGCTGAAAGCTTGCATAAAGCATCAAAAATCTGATTAAAGAATATGATAAAATCCCCTCTTACAACCTGTGCATCACCAAAAATACGTATCATGCCCAGCATAAATATGGGAATGTCATTAATTTGTGGAAAAACGAATAGCAACACCACTCACCTTCGCTATGTTATACAGTGCTTCACAAGCATAATAACGAACCCTGCTGTCTTGGTCAGAAAAAGAATTAAGCACAGGAGGCACAATTTGCTGACACACACCAGAAGCACAAAAAATTATAAGAACTCTAGCAATTGGAAGAGGGAAGAGGAGGAGGAGGAGGAGGAGGAGGAGGGGGAGGGGGGGTGTACTTTAGTCCACCTGACATTTGAATACATAATACTGAACAACACAACAATCAAAGTTTATTTATTTTCAGTTAAGTAATCAAATCAGTTAATGTTTTCTATATTGGAACTACATGATTAGTTGAACATAAGGCCTCCCAAATGATATAGGGGACAATACAACTCTTGCAGTAAACATAAAAGGTAAACATTAGCAACTAGAGCAGTAATGAAATCAGTTAAGTAATCAAATCAGTTAAATTTTTCTATATTGGAACTACATGATTAGTTGAACATAAGGCCTTCCAAACGAGATAGCGGACAATACAACTCTTGCAGCAAACATAAAAGGTACCCATTAGCATCTAGAGCAGTAGTTTGTCAGTTCTAGATGAAATACATCAACACAAAAGGAAGTGAAAAGCAATCCACTATAACACAGCACCATTACAAATAACAGACAAAACAACATCCACATAAAGCACCTTCTTGGTCAAAGAACCTTCTAAAAGAAATCAGAAAGTGGTATGTCCTAACCCCCTGTGAAATTACTTGACAAATCGTCAACCCTGTGAAGTTACTTGACAAATGAACAACGTTCATTCATCTATTTCATCCTACCCACCTCGCTAATTGCAGTACAGGTTATTTAATGAAACGAACTATGAATTCAGTAACTCAGACATAACTAAAAACTACACAAATTCAAATTGATTACAATTAAAGGAAATTCTATCCTCATTTCCAAATTCCACCTACTAGAAGATACAAAATGAGATCATCTGTAAATTATTGAAAGCTAACCACTCTCATTAATCATTTCGAGTCCGGGTGCTCGTCCCGGCGAATCAACACAAGTTGCAAACAATCTACTTTGCAGCCGGGTTATAGGTTTTAAACCTCACTGCTGCAGGAAGCTTAATCGTATATGTTTCTACCAACACTTGAATCATGATTCATTATAAAGCAAACATAACCTAGAATTACACTTGACAAAGAAAACAAGGAAAAAAAAAATCATCACCATCAATTCATTTTCAGTTCTTACTTCTAGATGTTGAGCAGCCTCTGAAGTCAACCCAACTGTCGCAGCTGCTAATCCAATCAATCCTCCCTGCAAAGAATCCGCAAAACAAAATATCAATGCTCACACAAAAACATGCTTAAACAACCCATATAAAGATCCAAGTAAATCATCAATTGATCAGAATCAAAGAGTCCCAATATATCTCCAATTCCAATCACTCCCATTTCCATACCTTCCTGTGATTCGCTTGCGGTGAATAAGTGAATTCATTAGTTAGCAAATTGATAACCGCCGTTATCTTATCATGATCCCCGTTCGTCGCAAGGTTCTTCACAATTCCCTCAACCTACGAGTATAATTCAATCGAAGATCCACAAAACCAACTCAAAACCCTAGTACACCAAATCAAAACCGAACCAACAAAACATATAGGTACAAATACACATACATATGAATTGAAAAAAGTTGTTACCTCAAGAGCTGCATTCTTGCGCTTCTCGTAGAGTTTGTCCGATAGATTGCGGAGAACCGCCGCCGGAATCACGGACAGCGCGTCCGCCATGTCAAAACCTCGGAAATCGAAACCAAAATTTCTCCGAAGAAGAATCGAAGAAGAAGAAGCAGAAAGAAAGACTCCGAAATCAAAGCTGGTTTCGGATCTTCTCGTCCGGCTAGAATCGGAGCATAATTTCTGCCTAGGGTTTTTGGCAATTCGGAGAAACGTGAAAAGTCAGAAGAGATTTTTCCCAAAATTGGAATGAATTTCTATTTTGAGAGGGAAAAATCAGATCTGACGGGATTGAGAAATTTATGAAAATTGACTACACAGATTTTCAGAACTTCCTTTTTCTTTTTTTGTTTTTCTTCTTTTTGGTGTTCTTCTTTTCTTAATGGTTAATTTGGTCTGTTTGGCTCCGGGGTGGCGTTAGTTTCTCCGCGGTATAGTTTGTCTGTGCACAGTGATCTCGGAAGCTGCTAACAGAGAGAATTGTAAATTTGAACGTTGAAAAGACGAAAGTACCCTTCTCTATTAGCTTTATAATCTCTTCTAAGAGCGGATTCTCCCTCACTTGGGAGTTGGGAGCGCCTGAAGGTGAATTAGAGAGGAGATAATTTTTTGGAAGTTGGTTTTTTTTTTTTTTTTTTTTTTTTTTTTTTTTTTTTTTTTTTCTTTTAAAAGAATATACATTTTAAAAATTGGGTTCTTAAAATAGAAATTTCATATAATTGCTTTTAAAATGGGCCCGAGTAAATAATTAAATTTCATAAGCTGCATTTGACCTGATTTACATATTGCACCCCATCTAGTAGGTGACATACTTAGAAGAGGAAAAATGTTATCCAAACTCATTATGAGAGAACTCAATCAATTCCACGGATTTAGATAACATTTTTTTCTCTTCTAAGTATGTTTATTTTTCGCATACATATACATTTTTTACATAATCTTTTTCTAATTTTGATTTTCCTTAGAATGTAAAATTTTTACGGTTGTAATACTTCATCGGAGTTAATGTTTTTAACAAATATAACTTTTTTTTATCAATAACAATTTTATTAGTCACTCCAACAAAAGTGACTTTTAAATGTGTCAAGGCATCCTTTTAAACACCATAGCTACATTCTTCTCGATTCTTGTGCAACAAGACTTTTTATCTAACGTTAATTAATAAGTCTAGTAGTCACTCTAAAAGGTTAATTAATTTTATAGTCATTCTGAAATTAGTTAAGTGTTGCATTCGTCCTCAAATTGATAATAATTGTCAAAATTTAAGGAGAAACACACTAATACACACCATATAACGAACGTGCTTTATCGTTGTCTAAAATTCCAATATCAATTATTTATAAGAGCTTATGTGATTTGCATAAAGATATTTACGTCCAAATTTTAAAAACCATAATCAGTTTGATTGAATTTGGCAATACTTTACTAAATTCAAACTCTTTCGCCATGTCAAATCCGAAGAAGAATTGAAGGATAGAAGCAAGACTCTAAAATTAAAGCTGGTTTCAGATCTTCTCATCCAACTAGAATCGGAGCATAATTTATGTTTTTGGGCAATTTGAAGAAGCAAGTGAAAGTTAAAGATTTTTTTCCAAAATTGGAATGAATTTCTATCATCCGAGGGGGGAAAAAAAAAAAAAAGGTCTGACAGAAATGAGAAATTTACAAAAATTGATTGCTCAAATTTTCGGAACTTTCCTTCTTTTTTTTTTTTTTTTTTTTTTTTCTCTTCAGATCTTCTCATCCAACTAGAATCGGAGCATAATTTATGTTTTTGGGCAATTTGAAGAAGCAAGTGAAAGTTAAAGATTTTTTTCCAAAATTGGAATGAATTTCTATCATCCGAGGGGGGAAAAAAAAAAAAAAAGGTCTGACAGAAATGAGAAATTTACAAAAATTGATTGCTCAAATTTTCGGAACTTTCCTTCTTTTTTTTTTTTTTTTTTTTGTTCCTCTTTCTTTCTGGTGTTATTGTCTTGGCGTTTGTTTCTCCATGGTACGGTTTGTTTATGCACGAGTAATCTCAGAGGCTGCTAACGAAGAGAAATTCTAATTGAACTTTGATAAGATAAAATTACCTTTTTTTATTTAGATTTATAATCTCTTCTACGAGCAGCTCTATTCAACCCCGTTGAGTTGAATCGGACTCTCTCACAGTTGAGTTCGTCGTCCACTCAAAAGTGAATTAGACGAGACCAATTTTTTTTTTATGGCAAGGAATTTAAGTACATTTTGTTTTTTGTTTTTTTGGAAAGTTTTTAATTTAATTTAAAGATAAATTGACAGGTTAATAACATAAAATGTCTAAATAGTAGTGGCCATATAAAAAATGGGTGATTCTAGGGGGGGCTCTCATTGCTCTTATAAGTAGGCGTATAATAGGTTTGTTTATTTTGATCTACCGGACATAAAATAAAGGATAGGATTAGATCAGTTAATAAGTTGTCTACTTTATTCTTTACATCTTATAATAAATTATTTATACTTATAATCAGTTAATCACTTGTTTAGTCTATTGTTTACAACTGATAATAAATTAATAAGTTGTCCGCAAAAGTTTTTTTTTAAAGTATAAATTGTTATTTTTTGCCAATAAATAATGTTAATATGTTCTATCATAAAGTTAATTTTGTTAATTAATGAGAAAAAATGACTGATCACAGATGGAAAATCACGAGAAATTCATAAAATATTATCAAGGAAATTGGCCATCCATTCTATTACTTTTTAAGTAAATTGGTTCCAAATTTCGACTATTTAAAAATAAAAAACTGTAACGAAAAATTAGTTGTCCAAGTAGATGCATTGGTGTGGATATTAAGTAGACAACTGCAATGGATGCATTTCAGTTGTAATTTAGAACCAAATTACCAAAAATATAATAAAATGGATGCCCAATTTTCTTAATAATATTTGTGTATGTCTTGCGTTTTCCTATTTATGATCAGTTATTTTTTGTCATTAATTAAAAAAATTATTTATGAACAAAAGATAACAATTTACGCTTAAAAAAGGGAAAAAAAACTTTTGAATGCCTTTCGTCAAAAAAAAAATTTTTGAGGACGTGAGGTGCAAAAAATCCTTAAAATATAGACATTTTATGACAATTTAATGGAAAAGAATTGATACTGATGATGCAAACAAAAAAAGAGTTTGTGGACTGAGTATCCAAATTCTTAAAATGGAGACCCGAATGCCAATGATTACAAAAATAATAAGAACAATTCTTAAAATATATAAATGTAACATATTTTTTAGACACATTATTTATCATGGGAAAGTGATAACGTGGTACATATGCTTTCCAACAAACATTTAGGTTTCTTTTTCCATTACGTTTGTAATTTATTAGAGTTAAATGACAAAGGTATACCTCATATTTTGAATTATTTAAAAAATGCACCAAACTAGCGAAAATTATGGCCGTGTTTAGAATTTATTTTGTTTTTATTTTTCATATTTTTCGAGAAAGAAAAAATGAAAACGGGAGAGAAACGGTGTTTGACACAAGTAAAAACAAAAAACAGAAATGAAAATGATTTTTTGGTTTAGTGTAAAATGTGAGAGAAATGAAAAACGACTTTTAGTTATTTTTCATTTTTTGTTTCCGTTTTCTCCTCTCTCGAGCAGAGAGAGAGAGAGATTAATGGATTTTTTATACTAAAAATAATCTCTCGGTAAAACTACCAAATGCATTTTCAAAAATAATTTATGTCTGAAATTGAAAATATTTTCATTTTCATTTTCATACAAAAAATAAAAACATTTTAAAACGAGTTCCAAACGCACCCTATAATTCATTTTCCAGATGTAATATTTTGTTTCAATGTAGTCTTTTGACCTATTGACCACAACTCAAGAGAGAAAAAAATCCAATCTCTTATCGGGAGTTCAGTAGTTCTCTATTTTTCGGTCGTTAAATTTATAACAGAGCAGTTTCTATTTTTCGATCGTCAGATCTGTAATAATTATGTATATTATTTTAATATAATATGATTTTAATCAGATTCAACGGTCATAAAATAATTTTACCAGGAAGAAGTCCCAATAATACCCTTCTAAAAGTTGTTTTGAGAACATGTTATTTCATTGTCGTTGAGTCTTAACTAAACACCCGGCACTAGACTTATCTGAATCACCATAGGACCTACCGTCAACTAGTTGGTTAGATAGGCAAGTCTACCAAGGCCATTTGGAGGGCTCCCAAATGGCTTCTTGCCGACGCCAGTGGTGGCGGTCTTGTCGCCAAGGACTACGGAAAATAAAAAGTTCTATTTTTTTGGCTTCCACTTTGCAATTGTTTGATTAGTTCATCTAGTCTTTAATAAAACGTTTTATTTCTAAACTTTAGTGATCTTGCAATATTTCTTTACTCTAAAGTACGATGGAGAGATTATATTGAAAAAGAATGATCAAATATGCAAGATAATGTTGCAACATAAGTGGAATATTTGGATATGATAGAAGGAGTAGATGCACATGACTACTTGACATCTATTATGTACTATTGACTAGTTCCTTTACTCACATAAAATAAACCATGAGAGCGTATATATATATATATATATATATATATATATTGTCCAAAAGGAAATAAGAAGATACCTTTTTAAGAAGGAAAGAGGATGAAGAGGGAATAGATTAATAGTCACCATATAGTTTAAAACCTCCAAAGATGAAAATACCTTGAGATTCTCAAGGTTAAAAAGAGGCTGCTGTAATTTTGCTTTTTTAGCTGGGACTAGGTTATATTTTTGCTTGAAGTGTTAGCACATTTCCCTGAACGTTATGAAAGAGGCCATCAAACGCTTATAGAAATGTTCATTGAAAGTCCTACAGACAGACTCTACTCTTTAAATGAGAAGCGCGTCACCTCAATTCCACTAAATATACTAACGGTAAGAGTATGTGAGGTGTTCTCCTAAACATTCTAAATTAAGTACTAAGTTAGTAGAAAACTAGTCTTCACATTTAATACCTAAATGGAATAACCCGAACTCAAACCGGTGACCATAAACCCACCATAATACTCCATTTCCACTAGACACCACACTAAGTAATTAGCTGAGACTAGGTTGATGTAATAGAGTTCGGTCTAGTTCCTTTTCTTACTAAGAGGAAACTCTCACTTGTAATATAATAATATAATATGCATACATATATAATATAATATATATATATATAACCAAACTATGAAAAGATGGGCTGAGCAGATGTATGAAAAATTGTGGAAAAGGAATTCTGCTGTATTCTTTATTCACCGTTATAATTAAACGTAAATCTATATACACATTTAAAGAAATATTAACATCACTCTTTATGTCACTCTTTATATTTATTATTTGACATGTGAATTTTATTATTTAATTTTTTATTTAAATGATAATATATTATATTAATAGAATTTATGTGTCAAATAATTAATATAAATAGTTATGTTGGCATTTATTTAAGTTGAGCGGAAGAGAGAGAGAGAAAGAATAATGAACCCTACATGTTTTATGCTACCTTGGGACGTGCCAGTGGCTTCCTGTCTTGTATTTGGAAACTAAAGGCATCAAAAACCAAAACATGTTTTCTCTCATGATCGTTTTGATTGTCAATTAAAATGAGCGCAAAAAAAATTTATTGACCGTACTTATTTTCAAATTAAAAAGTAGATAATAATAGTAGTAATAATAATAATCTAGGATTCAAGGTATTAATGATACTTAGAAATCTAAATAGACTAAGATTTGATTTGGACTAGATGGTTAAACCAACCATAACAACTAGCAGTTGATGAGATTAATAATGGTTGAACTACTCACTATCAACTAGAAGCCATATTAGTTTGATTTAGACATTTTATTGACCGTACTTATTTTCAAATTAAAAAGTAGATAATAATAGTAATAATAATAATCTAGGATTCAAGGTATTAATGATACTTAGAAATCATTTATTGACCGTACTTATTTTCAAATTAAAAAGTAGATAATAATAGTAGTAATAATAATAATCTAGGATTCAAGGTATTAATGATACTTAGAAATCTAAATAGACTAAGATTTGATTTGGACTAGATGGTTAAACCAACCATAACAACTAGCAGTTGATGAGATTAATAATGGTTGAACTACTCACTATCAACTAGAAGCCATATTAGTTTGATTTAGACATGCACCTACTTTGTCTCTCTGTCTTCACCTATCCATTTTTTTCCTTGAAAATGATAATATTGAATTTTTCTTTTATGTTCGAAAGAAATTGGAGAAAAGCAGAATAATACGCCAATTAATGATAATAACTATCTAGGATAAAGATTATAAGATAATTACAAAATGGGGAACCCATTATTTCCTCTAAAAGAAGTGGAGGAAAAGATGCATTTTTTATGTCCTATTTTCTTGATTTGACGAAATGGACGGTGCGTGGTGGGGTAGATTTGGCCAAAATTAATAGGGATAAGCACTTTAACATTTCGGCTATAAGCACTTTGGATAAGGATTTTGTAAAATATCATTTGACTCGTGGATCTTAAAAAAAATAAATAAACAAAGTTCCGTGATTAAGTGAGAAATGGGTTGTTTTTTTCTCTCCTCTTTCTTTTTCATACGAATTTTGAAGAATTAATTAAAAGTAAAAAATCCAACATCATTTTTATCTTCTCAGCTCATATCCTACTTTGAATATTCTTTTGATAAAACTTACTTTGGGACCTAAAGACCGAGAACTTGTTTTCTTTATTAGTTACTAATTAGCTAATAGCTCGCGTGTTTTCGTGAAAAATATTGTTATATTATACAAAAAATTAAAATTTTTAATAGTGTAGAATTAGTTTATATATATATATACATATAGATATATCTATATAATATTTTAGATAAACGTGTCTTACAATGTATTATAGCTTTTGTTTTTCTTAATTGTAAAATACAAATTTTAAAAAATTAATAATAATAATAATAATTTTGGAAGTTAAAAATTTACATTGGTGTTGTTGATGCTGGTAGGAACTCAATTTTTTGATTTTGATGGGAAAATATGTGTATGTAAAAGTAAGAATAATTACATGAAAAGGTAATAAAAATTTTTAAATATAAAGTAGACCGCGTCTTTGGGTGCATGACTCATTTAAAATAACAGTTATACGAATCATCGGAAATTAAAAAAAGACGAGAAAAAAGAAAGGATAGAAGAATAGTAATAATTAATATATTATCATTAGTGACTATATTAGTAAAACCGCCGAGATGTTGGCTCCGCGCGCTCTTCATGCGCCTATTGAACCATTAATAATTTTGATCCGACCACCGAAGTAATTTCTACTTTAATTTATTTAAGAAGGTGCGACTTTATTTTATTTTAGTGTATGTTATTTTATTTTATTTTTCATTCAAATTATTTATACTATTTTCATTTGAGAGGCTTTAAAAATCTAGCTCAAAATAATATTAAAATGGATAAAATTGGAGCACAAATAAACACCTTTTTCTTTTCTAATTTTTTCTTTTTTAGTCTCTATTTAGTTTTAGTCTTAAACGCGCACACATGATTAATTTAAAATAATAGCTAACATAAATTGTTTAAAAAAAAAAAGAAGTAAAAAAGGCGACGTAAAAGAAATGAAAATTGAAAAAATAAATCGGAAATGCTTTGAAACCGTTTGATTAAAAATTTCGACGGCTCAAATTCGCACGTGAGAAGCAACTCGACGACCAAGTTCATCTAATCAATCAGAGCCGTCTTGTCTTCAAACCGTGGCTACTGCTGTTATACTGAGGTATGGTATTAACGATTCCGGATACAGGGTTGCCGGCCATTAAGCAGAAATTAGATACGTCACAAGTGAGGAGCGCTCAGCAAGAGTGACAGTTGCGCAGTGGTGGGCCCCACCACTTCTCCTTCCGCTAGTCAAGAGTCAACATGTAACGACCTCCATGCGAAAGACCCAAAAGGCCTGCCTAGGAAAGAGAAAAGAAAAAAAGGAAAAGAAAGACAAACTTGGCAATTTAGCTACCAGTGGCGGGTCTCGCCACATTTCCTTCACCCAGCCGATAATCGACACATGTGTTGAGAATGATATTCTAAAAATATAAGATATAATTAAATTTTTATTATTTATTTAAATTTTTATATTTAATAATAACGACCGATGGAAACGCACCTATCATCTCTATATATATTTATCTATTAGTGTATATATATTTATATATATATATATATATATGAGAGAATTAGTTGACATGTCTGCTTATTCTTGATTTTCGTTTTTTTTTTCCTCTCGTTTGACTTTCTATTTGACGCTTTTTTTTTCTTTTTTTTTTTTTTTTTCATCCTTTGGCGTTGAATTGTAAATACACGTCTATTTAAGTCTCAATACTTGTTTGGAACTTCTACCACTTTAACACATATAATCAAGGAAATTTGTAGTATATGGCAGATTTCATAAATTTAAAGTAATAAATAGCATAATTATTTTAATTAGTAAGTTAATAGCAGAATCTTATAAAAAAATTATTGTTTTCTCCATCTTACCCTTATTTTCAATTTCACCCTACTAATATGAAACCCTAATCCCCTCTCCCTTTGTATCGTACGCACGCTCTCTCTCTCTCCACCCTCACACTATCTCTCACTCTCTCTCTTCTTGCTATCTCTCTCTCACTTTCTGTCTCTTCACTCTGCTCGTACCACCGGACATGGAGAGCTCCTTGCAACGGCGGCGGCGTCACGAGCCCAAGCTAAAGGGCAACAACATCTCATGCCTCTCTCTCCTCCCACCGTGAAAGTATCTAAACCTCATAATGAGGGTATAATTGACATTTTGTTTGGTGTTAAAATACTGATTCCAAGTTTTCTTATATTTACTAAATTCATTACTATTTTTTGCTATTTATTATAATTACACCTCTAATTTCTGCTATTTCCTTCTCTCATATACCAATGAATGAGTTCTCATGCCTAATCCCAGAATTCTTCCGAAACGTGCATGATGTCTCTTCACAGTTCAATCAACAAATTAACGATTTATCAGTGATAAACCATTCAAAAATTGTAATGCTACACCGATGTAAATGCGCGCCACAAGTGGTAATAGCCGACACAAATGGAAATGCGCGCCACTAGTAACTATGTGATTCTTATTTGTTTTTTGACAAAAAAAGAAGCATTGGATTAATATTAAAAAAAAAATACATTCAATAATAGATTTTTTTTTTATTTGAAAATTTACAAGCAACCAAAAAAAAAACAGAAAAGTTCATACATGATGCATCAAACAGGGAACAAAGAACAATTAATAACGGTCAACAGAAAAAGGGCTAATTAGTGACTCTTCAAGTTCTCGAAAGCCTCGGTAAACAGCCTCCGTCTGACTCTGTGGAAGGGGCAACCTCCGCACCTCAGTCATGTATCTGCCACATTCAATGACCACAAAATCAGACCTAGAACCAGATTACAAGGCATCTATAGATTATAACGATGCTCCGAAAGCTAATGCTGAGAGTGGTTTAAAACCTGCTGCTTTTTCTTCTTTTTTTTTTAATTTTTTTTTTTAATTTTAATCTTATGCAACACGAAGGCCATCTAAATCAGAATGTGTTTTTGAGCCACCTATTCTATGACGCTACTAGCAATTGAGAACAGCTTATGCAAGTCAACTTTCTAGGTACAATGAAAAATGCTTGGGGGTACTACTGCTGCTACTGTTAAGCATCACAACTAATAGAAAATTGACCCCATGCCGTGGAAGCCACTTTCTATGAGCAAGTGGTGCTTAGCGCTATAGGTGACCTCTAACATTGTTTAGACACAATACTCGAAGAATATCTCAAACTACAAGAAAAGTTGGTTAGACATTTTGTGTAAGTTTTACTGTGCCAATTCTTGTGCAAGTTTAAACTTATCGCCGTCAAAAAGAGGAAAAGACAACATTATGATGACTTGGGACTAATGTTTTAACGTTATGGCATAAGACTATAGTAACTTTTATTACAATGCATGCATCGCCAACCCACCTTATCTATTTCATGACCATGTACGGACAAATCCTAAGATGTTTTATATCCTATGTAACCACGACAAACAAGAGAGATAACAAGTTCACCTGTTTGCTGCACTTGTGATCTTATCACGGATCCCTTGATTAATAACTGCTGTTTGCTCCAGTGAAAACGTTCCACCTAAAATTAAGGAAGCTCCAGTTGCACTAGTACCCATTCTTTGAGCAAATACCGACATTGCCCACTCTCGAAGTACTGTTAGTACTGATCTGAGAAGGCGTAATCTGAGCTTGGCTGATGGAAAAATAGCTCCGCTTGACAACAATTGATCGTAAGTGTTCAATACAGGTTCAGTTGCACCCTTGCAAGCTGCAAGAAGAGCCCTCGGAACATCTTCATCTCTGACAGATTCAACCCCCGACTCCAATCTCTCCTATAAAAAGATGCAAAGAAAATCAGATAAATAAACAATTTATACACAGAACCATTCATCTAAACTGATGTTTAGAGTAAATATTATCACTTAGAAAGAAATGTTCATATGCATGCAACATGTACCAGTGCAGCCTTTTCCAGGTGAAGACACAAAGTGTCTAAGGGTAAACCAGCTCCATCTCCAGGATAAATGTGGGAACCAACTCTCTTCAGTACAGAACAAGCCTCAGCAATGCCGCCCCTCGAAAGTGCTTGATCAACAAGTCTAGCACAGGTTTCTCTTATGATGCTGCTATCAGCATCGCCAGAATAATTTGCAAAATATAGCATTTCCAGACAAATCTGATTGCAACAAAATGAAAGCAATGACTCAGCACAGAACAGAAGTATAACTTGCAGGCTTGTAGCAACCCCTACCGTAATTCTAAGTAGCTGACCGTTTTTATACCATGTCAAGGTTTCACATATAGTACATTTTCAGTTATAATTTCATTCATATAAACACAAAAATAAAGAAACTGAATCAATGGCCGAGGAGATTTTACTATATCTATAAAGCAGCATAAATAAAAAAATGATCAAACCGACCCCTTTCAACCATAAATAGATTTACACGAATAATAATACACAAACATATAAACTTAGCAAAGATTATTAGCATATATAAATAATGTGTGCGTGCATATATTGTATGGATAATATGTATGGGTAATAGTATAAAATGAGGGAGAGTAGAGACAGATAAATGCACAACACCATTAAGGAATTCAGGTTACTAAATATGTTTTCTCAAAGAACTTTACCTCCCAAAGCTCAAATGGAACAGCATAGTCATTATATAGCTGAGTTATACTCTTCAAATCTAAAGATAGCTCTTTGGCCTTTTCGCGTGCATTATTTGCAACATTTGCATCATCCACTGACGTGCTTTCAGGGTCTGTTCCGTTTTGGACAGAGTCAGAAGCACCTGAAGAAGTTTCTAGCCTGGAAGCTATAGCCTCCAATTCTTCTTTGATCTTGACCTGAAACCGAAGAACGGCAAGTTTCCCTTCTAGTAAATCCAGTAGTCCATTTTCAACAGCACCCCTTGTAGAGCTAACCAGGCCATCACTGGTACTTGCATTCTTGGCCTGTAAAACAGCATTACTTAGGTAGTGACACCTGAAATTGACGACACAAGAAGCATTAGAGAACAATCGGCTAGATGAATAAAATCTCGTGGAATTGAGGCTAAAGAGTTTTGGGTTTTTGTAGAAAGCAGACATTTTCTTGAGCAAAAAGAAAGAACCTGAGCTTCATTTTTGAAATGAATGAACCTAAGATTTGTCTAAAAAAGATACATATGAAAGAAGAGAGAACCAGAATATCTCTATATATGCGTGCTTAAAAACTCAAGTGTCGCTTATGCATAGGACTAAATCTGATTAACAAGCATATTCATATTTTAGAAGGCCAAAAGGGCAACAAAATACAATGTTTTGCATGTTTGAGCTAGCAACCATGAGTCCATGACCAAAATGTTGATTTACAATTAATACATTTCTACCATGCAAAACAAAACACAACCCAACGACAAATAGGCACCTAAGAAGTTTAATACAGTTGGAAAGAAGTATCAATGTTTCAGATAAGCAAAAACCATAGATTTCTGGTAACCAGATACTCCAAGAAAACGTAAAAAAGTAGCCAAGAAGACGAATGTTGGGGAATCTACCTTTGCTCTAAAGTAGGAATATCCCCTGCATCAGTTGAGCGCCTTTCAGCCAGTCTTAATAATATATGAGCTGCAAGAAGGTGCTGCCGCTTCAAGACATAATACCGTGCCAAAAGGTCAAAGTACTTGGCTTGATTGGGTAATATAGGTGCTCCCAGTTGACGCATTCCAGAAGCCCCTGATGACACAGCAGAAACAGCTCGAATCTGCAATGAGAGGTGGAGGGTGAAAAACAACAATAACGAAAGAAAAAAAACAAAATGCAGTGTTAAATAACTCCTAAGAAAGAGTGCCAAGAATTGGTAGAAATGGAATGTAGAATTTGATTTTTTGAACAAAAAACTTGATAGTGAAAATTTTAAATCGGAATAAATAAAAAATTAAGGGGGAAAAAAACCTCTTGAATTGGTTCGCGCCCAGCACTTTGTAGGAAAGGCACCAAATCAGGACCACCGTACTCCAATAACTCACTTTCGAGGCCTAAATCAATCATTGCCCGGTACAAGTACTCATGAAATAATCTATCAGGTGATTTGACACCAAGCTGAACAATCTGGCATATATATTTGTTCCGAGAGGCCTGATCAAGGGCCAATCTTGAAGCTGCAGGTCTAAGTGGAGACCCAAATTCTCCACGTGAAGGAACACCCTTCAAAGAACGTAATGCATTAATGACTATCTCATAACAAATTTCACGCTGAGCAAGTGCATGCTCTCGAACTGCTGCATCAACTTGGTCATTAAAAGCATCACCTGCTGGATCAAGAGCCTGTGCCTTTTGTAGAGGTAAGTGAACAACAGCATCATAGAACCTGTAATGGAATCGTCATTTAAGTTTTAGACACGTTGACCAAATTAAGAATTGGCAACCAAATTCATTGGAATAGCCCTCCACTTGACATAAGCAACTGACCTTAAATCCTCAAACCGTTTGCAGACAGTTTGTAAATCTGCAGACTCTGGAACTTTACTTAAGAAATTGAAGGCCTCTCTAGCAAGATTCTCCTTCTCCTCAGGATCAGGAGTTACAGCAGCTCTTTCAAGGCACTCCACAGCGAGGAAAAACTTGTGATCAGACTCCTTGTAATAGCTAGGACAACCCTCTCGTAGTCTCGCACTTATATCATCAACAGTCCCCATGCCATCAGCACTGGTATAACACTGAGAAAAAAATAAGCCAAGTCACCGTAAGGAAAATTTGGAATAAAGAATAATGATCTCAGATAAAACAAGCTTGTAAACAAGGGGAATAAAGAAATTTCGCTTGCGTTTTTAGGATCCCATTTAGTGGATCTCAGAGAACACTGGTTTGATCTCACATTACCTCCACCAGAGCAGATATAAGCAGTGTAGCAATGCGGTCACCCTCTTCGGAGCAAACTAGCTGATGAAATGTTAATTGGACTAATGTTTGTCGTAGATTAGTGTCAAAACCCTGAACCAAGCGAGTAACATGATGCTGAGAAAGAAGTTGGAGAAGAAACAGGGCTTCACTGGATCTAAAAAGCAATTGCCTGATGCATTCCATTGCCCTCACCTGTGGAACAAGAAACCAAGTCGCAAAAAGGAATGAAAAATATTGGTCTAATGGCCTTTTGTAGACTACAACACGACGACAATTTTGACTTACCTCCATAGCAGCCAGCTCTGCAGGACTATATGGTAACCTCTGCCTTTTATTAGATGCACCACTGCCACTAGACTCGGCACTCCAAGAGTAAGCACCAAATAAGTTTCTCACCATACTCTGGTCACCAGCACCTATTTCGGAACCAGTCCCATAAAGAATTGAACCAGTCAAGTCTCCCAGTCCAGCAACACAGCCATAGAGTCCCCTTCTCTGATTCCTTCTAGAACTCAAGAACTTCTCTAAAGAACGAAGTTTGTTTTCCAGTACTTGCATAGCCTGAATAGACAATCTACATGAGACAAGTCCAGTCTCAGATAAAGCATCTGCAGAACCTCCTTTTACAGCCATCACAGGAAGTTCCCACACTGGGAAAAGTAGCCTTGAAGAACACAAGCAAAGCCCTTCATAAGCACCTGAAAACACTGGCTCAGCCTCCTGAACAACCTGACCCATGCTAAATCCCCCAGAAGCTGTCCTAGTGTTTGACAATGCATTACCACCCTCAAGTTGTGGCATTCCAACAAGTCTTGGATCCTCAAACGCTTCAGCCGCCTTTTCAGCAACAGCATTGCTTATAAGATTTTCAGAATACATTATCCTGGCTGACAGCATCAAACACATTGCAGCTGCCTCACCAGATCCAAAACGATTAAAGAAATCTTCTAAAATTGATCTCGGTGAATTAGTTTCAAACAACCTTCTCAAAATATCCACAGGCCTGTTATACACAATTTCCATCATGCCTATGGTACTAAAAACAACAAGTCTCCTCCTTGGCAGTATATGTTGGGTTGTAAGGTCCCCTCTAGCCCAGAGTTTTAGGGACGCCTTTTCAGAGGATTCCCATGAACTTTCAATTCCAGTAAATTCAATTTCTGAATATAGGGAGTGTACTGTTGTTGCAGTATCAGGATTTGGTAAGACATCTGCTACAAATAGCATCCGTCCTTCAACTGATAAAGAAGAAACAGATTCCCTTAATGCCCGAGTACTTCTTGAACTCGTCCCTGATGTACCTGAGACCAAGGACTGTGTGCTCGAATCCCGACTTACAACAAGAAGAGAAGACATGGTTGGTGGAGATGAATCAGAAAGTACAAGAGTTCCAGCAGAATAATATGCTGTCTCAACCTTCAGTGAGAGATCTTCATTCTGAGGTCTACCAACAAGAGACATAGCTCCAAAGGCAAGCCCACTGCTGACACCCAAGGGAGGAGAGGGCCTGGTAGCAACAACTTTTAGACAACTAGGTTTATAATGGTTCGTATTAAAACCACCCAAATTTCCACCTGATGAAGAAGTCGTGAGATACATCCTTCTGCCATCTGATAAAACAGCAACAAGGTGTAGACATTTTGATTCCAGCATGGACAAAGGTGATATACAAACAATAGATGGCTTTGCTGACCGATTTGGGGTCCTTTGTCCAGTTGATTGTCTACCCCCGTAATGAGTGTCCCTCTGATTGATAACATTCCTTTCTTCTGCCACCTTCTTCAATGGTCCATCACCATTAGGGCCCACAACAAAAACCTGAAGTTTCATTTCTTCAGTTCGTGCATATAAAATGTTTCTTTCATTATCAACAACTAATTCAATGATGGGGTCAACAGCTCCAAACTTAAACACATTAGGCACAACCCATCTGCAAAATAAGTGTTTGCATCAATGCACGGTATAAATGAAAAAACAGCAAATTCTAACTTTATTATTTAAAGCTGACAAACTACAATGAGGATGATTATGTGCAAATTATGAAATTAGATAACAACAAAGTAATTTGCCCTTAAATTGCTTTTGAAAACTACCCGGTTCAAACTTTAAATCATGAATACTCACAGTTCGGAAGCTTGATATCTTATTACCACGGAAAGGATCAAGTACTATATTACATAATTACCTTGATATGACACTGCTAAACCCAGAAGTCAGGCAAACTTTCCGGCAACGCCTTTGCCAGCCTGAACCAGTTGAGTAATGAAGTTCATAAATGTGGCCATCACGGCCAGCCAAGAAAATACGACCTGCGTTAGTACATGCAATACAAGTCATGGTGACTCCATCTGATGGTGCTGTATATTCTGGCAAAGGTTGCAGCGAGACCTCTGCATATGGATCTGCATTATCACCTCCACCAGAGCAGCATACTCCTACGAGAACTAACTGACAACAAGAAAAGGATAATGAGATTCTTTACCAATAATATACATGAACCTTACCCAACTTTTCGATGTTATGTGACAAATGAAGTGTTACTTTTCAATTTGTGAACGTTATCAAATCCAGTTTATAAGGTTGAATTTTACTGAATGAAAACTCAATTCACATATTAGTTGTTACTAAAAGGTTGCAATAAAATGGGATGTTAGGTACTCCTCCTTGAAGAGGCCCTGTCACATGCCACCCATATTGTAAGGGTTTGCACTTGGGCCCACGTTTCAATGCTCTTAAAAATCTTAGGGATACAATCAATTTGGTACCCTTTGTTATATCGAAGCATCTCGAAGGTATCCTGTCTTTTTAATAATATTAAATAAGTACCTTCGAGCTTGTGGGTACCCTAAGACCCTTTTTGGGACATAAAATGTCCTTTCTACCCTTCTATTTAATCAATTACAAATATTTTTTTAAAAGTTCTAAAAATATGTTAGAGTTTAAAAATCTAAAAAAAAAAAAACACAATTTCTACAGTTTTTAAGTTTTTAAAATATGAATTTTAAAAAGTACTTTTAAAATATTTTTGTAAAATTTTAAAATTTTTAGTTTCTAATTAATTAATTAGAAGGCCAGATTGGTCATTTTATATCTCAAAAAACAGCCTTAAGGTACTCACAACATGTTTTCTAAAACACGAAGGTACCTATTTAATATTAAACAAAAAGTTACGTACTTTCGAGATGTTTCGATATAACAGAGAGTACCAAAATGATTTTATCAAAAATCTTATTTTCACTTATATCAACAATTGTATCACTCCAAGTTTCGTTTATTTCAACAATTAAAAGAAAATAAAATTTGTCCAATAATTGTCTTCCAAAGAAACATTTTCAAAGTACATATTACGGAAAGCAAACAAAAAGACCAAGGATTCGTTACTACCTCAACAGGTGTTGCCAAAATTAACAGATACTGGATCGCTTCAACAAAGACACCAGGTTTTGATTTTGCAAGACCAACAGCACAAATAGCTTGCTCTTCTCCACTGTATTCTGCACATTGACCATCCCTGATCAAGAAAGAATGTCAAACAATGAACGAAAAGAATGTAGAGACCAGAGTTTTAAATCAACATTGAGGAAGTCATAACTCATTGGCAAACAACAAACTGTTTGATTCTGTATTGATCCTATCCTGCATTGTTTTCTTATAACGAGCACCATATGTATAGTTTTGTAATATGAATATCTAAATAGTTGAACATTTTGACAACAACACGTACATTTATGTTTACACACAGAGAAAGAAGCAAGTAAAACTAATGCAACAAGCATTATAATGCCCATTATAGAACACGCAAGTAAGAAAATATATTCCTCTCACAACTGACTTCCTCATGAACAAAGAAATCTACAAAGAACATTCTTAGGAAATCTAATAAGGTCCTAAACTATGATATAAGAGGTAAGATTACTAATCATTGAATTATACTTGAAGACTAAAAAGATTACTTTCAAAACAAAAAAAAAAAAAACCAGCATCAAGGATAACAAAATAAATATCATCTCAGACAGCTAATTAAGGCCTCTATTATTCTTCTGTCCTAAAAGAAAACATAGTTCGTAGCATCCTTTTTTTTTGGGGGAAAAGAAACAGAACTTCATTAGAAAAATCACATATATAAAAAACACTAACAAGGAGGTCGGGGATTCCTCTTGCTCCAACAAAAGCAAAATGAGAAAACTACATCAGTAGATAGATTCTAATTCCTAACCAAATTCGACAAGTTGAAGTTAGAAAAATCTTAGTCCTTAGACAATCATATAGCAACCAAAGACTTCATTTTATGAACAACTAAGGTCTTCAAAAATCCTCCTATTTTGTTCTAACCAGTTTGCCCAACATAGTTCTTAGCTTTCAATCAGTGAAACAGAAAAATACTTGTTCCCATGAGGTGGGAAAAAACCTGCAATGTATAAATCTTTTTATTTTATTTTTTGATACAAGCTAGCTGCTCCCATGATTCGAGTTTGGAATTCACAGTATACTACAATGAGATGGTAGCCCTTTGGCAGGAATTGGATCAATGCTATGATGATGAATGGGAGAATCCAAATGATTGTGCAAGGTATATGAAGCGTGAAGAGAATGATCGTGTCTACGTGTTTCTTGCAGGAGTTAATCGAAGTCTGGATGAGGTAAAGGGAAGGATTCTTGGTCGAAAACCCCCGCCCTCTATCCGAGAAGTTTTTTAAAAAATACGACAAGAAGAAAATAGGAGAAGAATCATGTTGAACAGCACAGCACCAACTCCAGAACCTGAGAATTCTGCTCTAGTCTCCTGCAACTCAGGAGGATCCGACATAGAAGGTGAACGGAAAAAACGCCCGTGGTGTGATCATTGTCGGAAACCATGGCACACTAAGGAGACATGCTGGAAACTTCATGGAAAACTAGCAAATCTCAAGAAAAAACCAGAGGGGAATGGCAGGGCGTTCAAGACTACTACGGAAGACTCTCAAGAGCAGTCCATTGACTCAGAAGTGTTACCTTTCACTAAGGAACAATTAGAGCATCTATATAAACTCTTTAAATCTCCACAATTTGCTGTCAATCCTTCATGCTCACTTGCAACCCAAGGTAATTCGTATGTCACAGCCCTTTCTAGTCTAGGTTCTTTCTCTTCTAGTCCATGGATTATAGACTTTGGAGCAACAGATCATATGACAAACTGCTCACATCTCTTCTCATCCTATAGTCCTTGTGCAGGAAACAGGAAAATTAAAATTGCTAATGGATCTTTTTCGGCAATAGCCGGGATTGGTTCAATCAAAGTTTCCTCTCTCATAACTCTTAATAATGTGCTTCATGTCCCAAAATTGTATGTAACCTCTTATCTATTAGTAAGATAGCACAAGATCTTAAGTGTCAAGCTAATTTTTATCCAACTCATTGTGAGTTTCAGGAACTAGCCTCGGGGAGGATGATTGGCAATGCTAGGGAAAATGGAGGACTCTACTTTTTTGAAGAAGGACCAACTCCGAGTAAACCAGTCCAAAGTTCATGTTTTGAAGCTATGTCTCTTTCTAGGAATCATGAAATTATGTTATGGCATTATAGACTTGGTCATCCAAGCTTTTATTATTTAAAACGTTTGTTTCCATCTTTATTTCTCAATAAGAATCCTTCTTCATTTCAGTGTGAAATTTGTATTGCAAAACAACATCGATCTACTTATTCTCCACAACCATACAAACCCACTAAACCTTTTTCCCTAATCCACAGTGATGTTTGGGGCCCCTCACAAACTTCTACTCTTTTCGGGAAAAGATGGTTTGTCACATTTATAGATGACCACACTAGAGTAAGTTGGGTTTATTTGTTGAAAGAAAAAACAGAAGTTGAAGGAGTTTTCAAAAACTTTTACACTATGGTACAAACTCAATTTAATGGAAATATTCAAGTCTTTAGAAGTGATAATGGAAAAGAGTTTTTTAATAGTATTTTGGGGAATTTTTTTACTGAAAAGGGGATTATTCACCAAAGTTCATGTAATGACACCCCTCAACAAAATGGAGTAGCTGAGAGAAAAAATAAACACCTTCTAGAAGTTGCTAGAGACTTCCTTTTCACACATAATGTTCCAAAATATCTTTGGGGTAATGCCATTCTCACAGCTACCTATCTCATTAATCGGATGCCCTCAAAAATTCTAGATTTTCAAACTCCTTTGCAAATCTTCTCAAAAACCCTTCCATTCTCTAGGGTCTTATCAGACTTGCCTATTAAACGCTTTGGATGCACTGTTTTTGTTCACAACATTGATCAAAACCGAAGTAAACTAGATCCTAGAGCCAAAAAATGTGTCTTTGTAGGCTATGCTCCAACAAAAAAGGGATATAAATGCTATGATCCTATTTCGAAAAAATTGTTTGTCTCTATGGATGTCACTTTCTTTCAAACACAGCCGTTTTTCAAGTCTCCTCTTCAGGGGGAGAAAAATAGTGAAGATCCGACTTGGGATAAAATAGAACACTTGGTGACTGAAGTTCCTTTCCAGCCTAAACAGAATTTGATTTCAGAATCTGGTTCTAAACAGTCACCAACAAACTCGGTTTTAACTCAAAACCAGGAATACCAAAGTCTCATTCCAGCAGAAAATAATGGTCCTTTAGAAGGAGATGCAAATAAAAGGAAATTTGGACTAGTTTACTCCCGAAAGAACTTGACTTGTGGAAGGGAGTCTGAAAATTTCCAGCAAAGCCGAAACTCCAACCCGAGGCAGGACCAAAATCTTGTGAATGCCCCTTCTCCCGTCCAAGATTATCCAGGTATCTCTCCTCCCTTAAACTCCATTCCCGGAGAAACAACTCTTAATAACCTCCCAATTACTGTCCGAAAAGGGGTTAGATCATGTACTAAGTATCCAATGTCCAAATTTGTGTCCTATGAAAAATTGTCCCCAATGTTTTCTTCCTTCACTACTCAACTCTCACTTGTGGAAATTCCAAAGAATGTTCAAGATGCTTTACAGGTCCCTGAGTGGAAGGAGGCAGTTCTAGAGGAAATGAGGGCTCTCAAGAAGAACAATACTTGGAGGATGGTTGACCTACCAAAGGATAAGAAGACTGTGGGCTGCAAATGGGTGTTCACAGTAAAATACAAGTCAGATGGATCTCTGGAAAGATATAAGGCTCGTTTGGTTGCAAAGGGCTTCACTCAAACATATGGAATCGACTACATGGAAACTTTTGCCCCAGTAGGAAAACTTAATACTGTTAGAGTACTTCTCTCATTGGCAGCAAACCTGGATTGGCCACTACAGCAACTAGATGTCAAGAACGCTTTTTTGAATGGTGATTTGGAAGAAGAGGTGTACATGGATGCCCCACCAGGTTTTGACAGAGAGTTTGGCTCTAAGGTGTGCAGATTGATGAAGTCATTATATGGTTTGAAGCAGTCGCCGAGGGCGTGGTTTGAGAAATTTACTTGCTCAGTAAAAAGGCAGGGTTATACACAGGCTCAAACGGATCACACAATGTTCTTCAAGCACTCACCAAGCGGAAGAATTACCATCCTAATTGTCTATGTTGATGACATTGTCTTGACAGGGGATCACCCGGTAGAGATGCACAGCTTAAAAAAGAATTTAGCTACAGAATTTGAGATCAAAGACTTGGGCTCCCTCAAATATTTCCTTGGGATGGAGGTGGCAAGGTCAAAGAAAGGAATTGTTATAAGTCAACGGAAGTATGTGTTAGACCTACTGAATGAGACAAGTATGAGTGGATGTAAACCGGTAGATACACCGGTGGACCCCAATGTTAAGCTCAACAACAGTGGGGAAGGAGATCCAGTGGACACAACAAGATATCAAAAGTTAGTAGGTAAACTAATCTACTTATCTCATACGAGACCAGACATAGCTTTCGCAGTCAGCCTTGTTAGTTAGTTTATGCACTCACCCAGGAAGGAACACTTAGAGGCTACTTACTGTATTCTAAGATACTTGAAGAATTCTCCTGGGAGAGGTCTAATTTTTAGAAAGAACACTCAACGAGGGATTGAAATCTACACTGATGCAGACTGGGCTGGATCCTCCACAGATAGGAGATCAACAACAGGATATTGTTCCTATGTATGGGGTAATTTAGTTACTTGGAGGAGTAAGAAGCAAAGTGTAGTAGCAAGGAGCAGTGCCGAGGCAGAGTATAGAGCAATGGCTAATGGTGTGTGTGAACTACTGTGGTTACAACGGGTGTTGAATGAATTAAAGTTGCTGATAGAAGCTCCTATGAAGTTATACTGTGACAACAAAGCTGCAATCAGCATTGCCAACAACCCTGTGCAACATGATAGAACCAAACATGTTGAAGTTGATCGGCATTTCATCAAGGAAAAGCTCGAAGGAGGTTTGATCTGCATGCCATTCGTTCCAACAGTACAACAAACAGCAGATATCTTCACGAAGGGATTGTTCAAGTCGACTTTTGATTTTTTTGTTAGCAAGTTAGGTTTGCATGATATCTATGCACCAACTTGAGGGGGAGTGTAGGAAATTAGAAGATT